TATATATATATATATATATATATATGGCACTTTGCTATAAGCTTGTCCTCAATCATTTCTAAAAAAAAAAAGTTTAAACAAAAACAGTCAACAATTACTTACCCTCATGTCATTCACAGCCTATATGCATTTCTTTCTTCTGTGGAACACAAAATAATTTTGAATAATATTTAGGGGCGTATTTAATGAATTGGGGGCCCTAGGCAAAATATAGGAATGGGGCCCTATACATTTGCACACATTTTCCTAGATCAACCTTGAGGTTCCTTTTTTGTTGTGATGCTGGCTGCTGCACAATGGTGCCCCATAGTTGTGTCCAATGTTTCTACATTTTATAATGGCTTTCTTTCATGTTGTAGACCACGAAATAGCAACTGATTTACAGTTGAGATACAGGTTTTCACAAAAACAAAATAAATAAAAAAAAGATAAACCTCACAATTGAGCGTTTAACAAAAACTACAGACTGGATTATTGAAAATTAATATTCATTCTCTGCCAGTAGGAGGTGCTTTTGGAACGTCAGAAATATAGAATGAGAAAAGTGTAAAAATATAGCCTATATTGACGAGGAAAGTCCACTGATGAGTTACCAGCGTAAGCCTGTGTGCAAAGGCTGTCTCATTCTAAACTTTAAAATACATTTATTTTTAGTTATTTTAACTACAAATTTAAATAAAACTGAAAAAATAATGAAAAGGCAATTATACATTTACACACCTAAGGATTAGGCCTATATCAACCAAAAAAGCAACTGCGTATGTGTCCTCTATTTGGTTTCTTCTCATAAATGAGTAAGCGGCATTTAAAACAATTATAAACATATAATACACACTGATTCTCAATATTTAATTACAGCTTCAGATGCATGATATTTTCATCTCCTTCAAGCAGGATACACAAAAAGCACGTTCAACTCGGACGGTTGTCGTGGTAATAAACACCATGTGTCAGCGCTTAATGCGCATCTCCTATATGAAAAGCATTTTAGGGGGCCCTTGGCTTTTGGGGGCCCAAGGTGGTCGCCTACCTTTGCCTAATGGGTAAGTCTGCCCCTGATAATATTAATAACCAAACAGTTTCAGTTCCCACTGATTTCCTTCGCTTTGTTGCCTATATGATGGAAGCCAATGTAAACCAAAACTGTTTGGAGACTAATTTTTATCTTTTACATTGCACAGAAGAAAGAAAGTCAAACAGGTTTAGAACAACATGAGGGTGAGTAAATGATGATGCTTTTTTGGGGAGACTGTTACTTTAACAAAAAATGTAGTCAGTATGATGCAGTCAGTATGATGCAGTGCAGTTAGCAAATGTGTAGTTCACCCAAAAATAAAAATATTCTGGCATCATATATTTACCTTTATGTCATTCCAAACCTGAATGACTGTCTTTCTTTGAGCAGAACAAAGAGCAGATATTTTTTGGGGAGGAAAGGGGCTATTTTTATCCAGACAATAAATGAATGGGGTCCAAAACAACATCAAACCCAGCTGACTTACTGCACGGACAAATTTGTCAGAAGATAACGGAAGAAACCGTCATACAGGTTTGGAACGAGACGAAGGTAAGAAAATGATGCCAAAATATTTTTATTTTTGGGTGAACTATTCCTTTAACACATTTGCAAGCTGCATTGCGTCGTACTGATTCAGTTCTCAAATTAATTGTTTAATTGGTTAGCAACTGTTAAATTGTTAAATATTATTCTAATTAAGATTATGATTATGCATGTATTACAACAGGGCAGTCAATATATTAAACAACATTTCCTTTAACTCGATACCTTTATTACATGTAGACCAGTTGCAATCTGGTCTGCTGACACTAAACATGGCATAAAATAGCTTAGTAGACATAATAAACAGTCAATCACTGTATATCAGTCAATACATTCTCCCATGGACCTCATCCAGGCCTAATGTCAAAATCAAGCTCCATTACTGACAACGAACACTCATCAATATGCGGCATAATTGATAGAGGATATCAGAACTTGTGTGACGGTGTTAGTTTAAACCAGTCGGCTTCGGCTTTCGGTTTGTTCGTGGGGAGCTCATTTCCTGAGCAACCCTAAACCTGACAATGTATTAATCTATTGTGTGCTACTCAGACTCACATGTCTGCAGCTTTAACGAGGAAGACAGTGGTGTCATTTAGATACAAGATTATCAGCCAACGGTGGGAATGTTAGACAACATATCATGAAAAACATGGATGTGGAGGGAATCAATTTTCTGTGTGTTTAGTACAGAACTCAAAAACATTTCCATATTATCATGTCAATTAGGACCAGGGGCCAAAGTTTGTCTGGTTGTCTTTCCACTTTGATGTTTTGCATGCATTTATATGCTACAAAATGCATTTATAATGTTACAAAAGTCTATTTTAAATAAATGCTGTACTTTTGAGCTTTCAGTTCATCAAAGAATTCTAAATAAGAATGTATTACTGTTCGTGGGGAGCTCATTTCCTGAGCAACCCTAAACCTGACAATGTATTAATCTATTGTGTGCTACTCAGACTCACATGTCTGCAGCTTTAACGAGGAAGACAGTGGTGTCATTTAGATACAAGATTATCAGCCAACGGTGGGAATGTTAGACAACATATCATGAAAAACATGGATGTGGAGGGAATCAATTTTCTGTGTGTTTAGTACAGAACTCAAAAACATTTCCATATTATCATGTCAATTAGGACCAGGGGCCAAAGTTTGTCTGGTTGTCTTTCCACTTTGATGTTTTGCATGCATTTATATGCTACAAAATGCATTTATAATGTTACAAAAGTTGTCTATTTTAAATAAATGCTGTACTTTTGAGCTTTCAGTTCATCAAAGAATTCTAAATAAGAATGTATTACAGTTTTCACAAAAATAATAAGCAGCATAGCTGTTTTCAACATTGATAATAATAAGAAATGTTTCTTGAGCACAAAATGAACATATTGGAATGATTTCTAGAATGGTTGCTGAAAAATCAGCATTGTCATGTTGTATAATAAGAATATTTCACAATATTACTGTATTTTTGATCAAACAAATGCAGCCTGTGTGTGCACAAGAGCCTTAAAAAACATTTTAAAATGTTACCAAGCCCAGTTTTTTTTTACTTTAGTGTATAAATGCAAAATATTTTATTATTTCATAATAGATATTTTTACAGTGACAAATTTTATTTTGAAGAACTCAAAATGACTTTGAGTTGTTGTCATTTTCCTATGGCTTCTAACAGATAGCAATCTCTCACCAGGTACTAGGGATGGGCGATACCACTTATTTTGTTTTCGATACGATACCGATATTTTTCAAGGCAGTATCGTCGATATCGATACCGATTCGATACTTCTGAACTAAACTTTTAAATTATGAAATGTATTAAATTATTAAATTACTAAGAGTAAAATGGGTAATGATAAGCACTTAACTTTATGTTTAAAACGCATTTTAACATTCAATACGCCTTCATTTTAATTTATTAGGTTATATTTTTGTTTACCCATGGTTCAAATATGTTTTTTGTTTACACATGATTCAAATCTATAAATACTACAGTTGAACTATGGTCACTTTAGTAAAACCATGGTTCATTTTCATAAGGGACTGCCAGTGACCGGCTGTTGTACACATAAAATGCAACATTTTTATTCTGACGGTGTATGATTTCTATTAACATTACAGAATAGAACATGATCATCTTATTATCTTTCAACGTTTAATTTAAATAACTAATTGCACAAACTATGTAGGCTACAATTTCAGTTTGTTTATTGTGAAATAACTCTGTCCTTCTGTCCTCTGATAAGCATTGTTCAGGGCTGCCGTTCCCAAAAGATTTAATGCTTTCTTATGATACTTTTGGGAAACACAGCCCTGTTTGAATGCACTGTCAGCAGTGAGTGAATGCTCTCTGTGACTGATTGGTTTTGTCTTGCAACATTTGCGTGTTCAGATGAGCAGGAAAATAGTTCTATCCTACACAATTACTCGCTAACAAAGGTTATTCGTCCAATTCAATGCATATTGTACGAATGTTTTTTTGTTAAATTAACAAAATCACTGGTAAATAAAACGCACCTTAGTATCGATATTTTTTGTTTGAGTATCGATACTTTCGATACTCGCCTCAGTATCGATATATCGATACTTTGGATCGATACGCCCATCCCTACCAGGTACCACTGAATACTTCAATTTCCCTGTCAAAGTCTGCAGAGAGAAAGATCTTTACTGCCACCTTGTGTTTATGCTACACTCCATACACAAGGCACTGTTGTACTGTATTTCACTTCTGATTTCATAGAAGGTACTGCCAATTAGCTGTGGACACAAGAGACAAAAATCTAATCACAGTACTGATACATTTCATGACATAATATTGAAGGCCTGCTGGAACTATTTTATCATTTGACCCTGACAACATATCAGTTGCCATGCTCTTAAGGACATAAGTTTAGCCTACCCTCCTCTGCTCTTTCTTCATGACATGTTTGTTATTATCTTGCCAGAGCGCGTCCTCCAGCTCCTTCTGTTTGCGTGCATCAGCGACTGCTTTGACCTCGGCCTTCCGGGCCCTCGCTGTGGCCGATTTGGAATTCTCACCCTGGAATTTCTTCGGCATTCCTGATACTTCCCTGCGGAGGTAAGGTTGATGACCATAATGAAAGTGTCAGAATAGGTGCTGAGATCACATAGGATATTAATGTGTGGTGTATAAACAGATTCTAATGAGAGAAAGACAAAAACTAAACACATGGCAATGATGACCAGAGGCTGAATCATAATATTTTTTTAGGACTAGATTGAGGATTATTGGGGTTTGAGCATCTTCTGATACACAGTGTTCAAGAAATGTATGTTCGTGAGTCATACATTTCACAGTAAATCGCTATCATCAAATAACAGAAAAATGAAGGGATTTAGAAGGCCCTTGTTCTCACAGTATTAACATAATCTGGGATTACTGGAGAGAGTTAAACCCCAGATATTTCTTTTTTTAAGTAACGTTACTTCCAAAAGAGAAGGAAATTCTGGAAAACAGTTGCTGCTTTTCTTCCAGCCACAAGCAAAGAGAAAGAAACGTGTGATAGCTATTAAATTAATTCCTAATTCCCCTCCCCTCAGACTGCCTTCGGTTATCCAAATTATGATCCCAGAAAAATAAATCCAGCTCTGCTTGAAAGAATGCTCACTCACTTTCCACACTTATGAGTGATAGTGACCATATCTTTAAACCAATACTGTTTTCTGTCTTGCATGAGTTTATTATGTGTTGGCCTATGGAATTTGGTCTTTTCAAACACTCATAAACTCACTTTGCAGATTTTTGTTTTGTTTTGATCAAAGGTAAGTTTTTTTTTTATATTGTCAATATTGTGTAAAGAGATAGAAATGTATATGCTTTATTTTGTACTATTTCTGTTTCTGTTTTGTCGGTTCATCTGCTCTTACCTTAAATTACACTGTGCACTGCATGAGTCCCAATGTTTGAAAGTCAAGAGAACATAACAGGGGGCTGATTGAGAATGCGTTGTGATTTCTGGGTTTGTTGTTACAGCTGAAAGCCTCTTGAAGAGAAGGACTCCACTCATTTAAGCTCTGCCTGAGTCCAAACAGACAGAGCTATGGCTTCAGACTCTGATAGACCGGGCTTCTGTTTGGTGGACTATGTAGTATTTGCTGCTATGCTGGGGGTGTCGGTGGCCATCGGGCTATTCCAGTCTCTGAGGACCCCGGGTCGCTCTAACGTGGACAACTTCTTCACAGGGGGAAGGGGTTTCTCTGCTGTGCCGGTTGGACTGTCGCTCTGTGCCAGCTTTATGTCAGCTGTCCAAGTGCTCGGTGTGCCATCAGAGACATATTTATATGGCTTTAAGTTCCTCTATATGTGCCTGGGACAAGCGCTCAACTCCCTCATTACTGCAGTTCTGTTTGTTCCCGTGTTTTATCGGCTCAAAATCACCAGCTCCAATCAGGTTTGGATTTTGTCCATTTTGTTCTTCTAGTAGTTTAGCTAATAATTTTATATAAATTCTTGCATACACACACACACACACACACACACACACATACCTGTTGCTTTATATAATACATTTATACATAAATATATTTCATTATATCACACTTTAAAATGTGTCTGTACAGTATTTTAGTTTGTTGTTCTTCTAGTAGTTTAGCTAATAATTTTATATAAATTCTTGCATACACACACACACACACACACACACATACCTGTTGCTTTATATAATACATTTATACATAAATATATTTCATTATATCACACTTTAAAATGTGTCTGTACAGTATTTTAGTTTTATTAGTTTTAGTTAGTTTAGTTTAAGGGAAATGTTGCTTTGGCAGCTTGCTGAAAAATATATTATTTTTATATTTTATCTTATTTTATTTCAGGTAACTGATATTTTTATGATTTTAGTTTTATTTTTACTACGTATAATAACTCTGATACAGTGGGGTCCAAAAGTTGAGATCATCAGTGAATATCATTCTATTTTTAATTTTTCTAATTTAATATGCATTTTTCCATAATAATTTTTTACTTTTCTGTATTTAGAATGTATAGCATGTGCTTTTGCATGTACAATGTACCCCACACTGTCTCTCTGTGTGTGTGTGAGAGAGAGAGAACACCAGGTTCTAATAAATGTACTTGTGTGTTAGTATTTAGGAATGAGGTTTGGAAGAGGAATGCAGCTCTTGGGAAGTTTACAGTTCATTGTAGCCACAGTAAGAGAAACTCATCATCAAAATTTTAATTGAAATAAATATAATATTTTTAATAATATTAAAACAATACCATAAAATGTATTTGTAGAGTACTGATCAACAAAGCTATGAATATCACTTGTATACTTTCAATTCCAATATTTAGTTTGCATAAAATATGTGCATATTAATTTTTTTATTATAACATTTTTAAGCTTTAGATTTGTGTAATACTAAGATTGGTTGGTTCTTTCTGTAGCTCCTCTATACTGGAATAGTGATCTTTGCTCCTGCAGTCATCTTGAATCAGGGTTAGTGAAATAGACTGATTTGCACTTTTTTAAAATTGCATCTCAATTCATCAGTGAACAAGTTGGATCCCGTATGAGTGGTTGCAAGTTTTTTTACACTTTTGTACTGTTCTCAACAACCTTTTCTTCTTTTCTGAATCAAGCCACAGGCCTAAATATGTGGGCATCTCTCTTCTCAACTGGACTCATCTGCACATTTTACACGACAGTGGTAGGTGAAATCTTTCCAGATCTGAATCTATATAAAAAAAATCAGTGCCACTTTTGCTCAGTAATTTTAATTTATGATTATGATTGTGATATGACCATGCAAATATTTGTTAACACAACATTACACTTGTGTTTTCCTGCAGGGTGGTATGAAGGCTGTAATCTGGACAGATGTGTTTCAGATTGTAGTCATGCTCTCTGGGTTCATTGCAGTCTTCATTCAGGGCACCATTTTGGCAGGAGGGCCTGCCAGAGTTTTGGAGATCGCCAACAATGGATCCCGCATCAATTTTAATGAGTATGAACAATATCAAATGTTTAGAAATCTGTTAAATACTGAAGTTAACTAAATGTTTATTTATTATTCTATTGCTCATTCTTTTTCTGTGTGTTAGTTTTGTTATAGACCCTCAGAGGCGCTACTCGTTCTGGAGTTTCACAGTGGGCGGCACTATGGTCTGGTTATCCATGTACGGAGCCAATCAAGCTCAAGTGCAGCGTTACATATCATGCCGGACTGAGAAACAAGCCCAACTGTGAGAGAATAAATCAGTAAAATCTTTTTTACCATCTAAAAATAACAATAATAATTTTAATCCTCTTTAAATTTAGTTTTTTTTTACCATAAAATTTATCCTAATAATGATAAGATATCATAGTCATGGTTTGGAACAACTCTGACATATTTTCTGTTCTCACTCACTGAGATACCGATCCACTGAGTGTCACTCTTGTGCTGCAGGGCGCTGCTGGTTAACCAGGTGGGTCTGTGTTTGATTGTGAGCAGTGCAGCCACATGTGGCATTGTGATGTTTGCTTTATACTCCAGCTGTGACCCACTGAAGACCGGCAGAATATCTGCTCCTGACCAGGTAAATCAAAACCTACATAAACAGAATTACCTATACCTACTACTACTAATAACTATTCCATTTTTATGTTGTTTTTTTTTGAGAAATTTATATTATAATTCTTACTGGTTTATTTGTGGTTGGAACAGACCTTTTCTGTTTTAAATGCTTTTGTTGAAACCAAAATTGAACTATTGAAATTTAAGAGAAAATAAAAATCTGCAGAATATTTAGTCAGAATATTTACCCTTGTCCATCCAAGATGTACGTAAATTAGTTTTTTTTTTTACCTCATTTGCTCACCAATGGATCCTCTGCAGTGAATGGGTGCCATCAGAATGGCTGTCCACACGACTTCAGAAGTGAAAAGCTGCTTGTTTGTAAGAAACAGATCCATAATTAAGGTTTTTAACTTTAACCCGTCACTTCTACCAGTCATTAATCCATAAAATTATTGTTGTAATTACAATTAATGACAAAAAAATAAAACCCATTACAAATGAGGCATTTGTTGCATCCAGTGGGGGACATAATTACTGATTATAATGACTTATACTGTCTTTTTACGGGTTGCGTTGCATATCACGCTGCGTAAACATAAAACCATGTCTGGAGAAACGACAAACAACAAGTGCTACTCTTCACTGCTCAAAACTCACGTTTGAATCGTCAGTGGCAAATTCTTTAAATATAAAAAACGTACTTACAGGCTATGAGTCAGAAGTGCCAGACGGATATTGTCCTCTTTTGGAAGGCCAAACAAAGTAGTTTCACTTTCACAATGAAACACACAGTGCCTTCACGACATGGCAGCGGCGGAAACAACAATACTACAGCGAGAATAAAAGTTACGCCTTCTTTCTTTACGTGAACATTTGGGCGGCGTTATGCAAATCTTCCCACATCGTGACATAGACATGTGGGGGCGTGTTAGAACGAGCCGTTTTAGGTAGGCGGGATTGACTCTTAACTTTTATAAAGAATATCTATTTGGATTTGAGACTTTAGTCTTTGCAACTTTACAGATCTTCTTTATGCACCAAGAGCTTGTAACACTCCAAAGAGAAAGGAAAAATTGAAATCGCATCATATGACTCCTTTAATGTTGGATTTATGTACTGCAAACATGCAGCTTTTTACTTCACAAGAAATTAATTAATGGACTGGCGTCGTGTGGATTGCTTGTGGATTATTGTGATGTTTTTATCAGCTGTTTGGACTCTCATTCTGACGGCACCCATTCACTGCAGAGGATTCACTGCTGAGCAAATTATGTAATGCTAAATCTTTTCCGATTAAGAAACAAACTCATCTATATCTTGGATGGCCATTTTTGGGTGAAATTATCGTTTTAAGCAACCCAATTGTCTTTTTATTTTCACAGTACATGCCGTACCTGGTTTTGGACATTTTCCGTAATCATCCAGGCTTCCCGGGTCTTTTTCTAGCCTGTGCCTACAGTGGAACTTTAAGGTGCTTGAAACTATCAGAACCTTCAGTGAGGTGTTGATTACTGGTACAAATGGAATAAACCACCCGCTTCTGTTTCCACAGTACTGT